TTATTGCCACGTCAGCAAAATCCTTTGCCACAATTCCTCCCATCTCACTAGTATTTTGGGGAGAAAGAAAGGAAAAAGTCTTGGCCCCACAAAACTTTTCATCCAATCAATACAATAATAATAATAATATTGAAGAATCCTGATTTTTGAATAACTACAACATATTTTCACAGCTGAACAGCCCCCAAGCAAAAAAGCTAATCCAAACACCTATTTGTTTTCAGTATAGAAGAGGCTTTGGATACTATTTTTTCACAAGCATATGGATTTCTTTATCAAAGGAAGACAAACCTGAGACCAATATGATATCCAAATGCTACGGATTTCGTGGGTAACCCTGGGGTCCGACAACGCATCCACCCACCTGTGGATGAAACGTTCTTGCCTGGAGAAAGAAAGGAAACTTGTTAACAAGAGGATTATGGACAACATTAATATATCATCCCCCCCCCCCCCCACAAAAAAAAAAACATCAAGTAGTAGAGAGCAAACCTGGCAGGATCCCATGAGCGGTATCTCTCTCCAGGCTGCTTGAAGTTGTTTTCCTTAGCAATAATAACCTATATTCACCGGATGATGAAAACAATAAGAGATTTACCAAACATGATAATGTGTAGAAAATGGCAATAAGGATTTTTTTTTTAAATACTATCTCACAGGGCACTTAATGGGCCAGCTTTTTGAGAACTGGGATGAAGCTCAACATGTTAAGAAAAAGGCCCTATGTACTTAAAACTGAAAGTGGTTTTGCGCAGTATGTAAACAATAATTTTAAATTCTTCCCAAAAATCCAACAGTACACTTCCTCAGGAAAGGAAAATAAAGAAAAAGAAAGGACGAAGTTAAAGATTGATAGGACTGATTGAGATGGACTAGGAAGTAGGAAGGTTAGAAGGGTTGTTATAGGATCCATATGGCTTATACATGGCAAGCTAAACCTAGATCAGGAAGTTTTTATACCATAAGACAGCTAGCATTCACTTGGGGGCAACATTTTTTTTTGTGCCCATAGCATTGATAAAACCTAGTTCCTTTTTTGAGCAGTATCTAGAAATATGTCTGTTTAGGTTCACAAACTTCAACAGATACTTACCTTCTCACGTCTTCCATTAAGGACACCAGGTGGTATCGGGAATCTCTCCGCATGACGAACAGGATCGTACCTTGAAGGGAAATAGTTCACCTAAAAAAACAATGTTGTATATTTGAAAAGCAATATAATAAATGAACCAATTAATGAATAAATGCCAGGGACAGAAAGCAAATAGCAACCTCCTCATCCCTGTGCATGAAATTCATAAAACCATCATGGTGGTTGTTGTGATGAGCACACTTGGGAGCGTTAGCTGGGAGCATTAGGTAGTTCGGCCCAAGACGGTGCCTCTGAGTGTCAGCATAAGAGAAAATCCTAGTTTGCAGCAGCTTATCATCAGAATAGTAAATTCCGGGCACAACAATTGCTGGACAGAAAGCTAGCTGCTCATTTTCTGTAAAAAAATTGTCAATGTTCTTGTTCAGGACCATACGCCCAACTGGCTGAAGAGGAATGATATCCTCTGGCCAAGTCTTGGTAACATCAAGGGGATCAAAGTCAAATTTATCCTCATGATCAGGATCAATGGTTTGAATAAAAAGCTTCCACTCTGGATAATTTCCTGCAGCAATTGAGTCATAAAGATCCTTGGTGGCGTGGCTGTGGTTATTGCCTCCTACAATGACAGCCTCATCCTCCAACAAATTCTTCACACCGCAGGTTGGTCTCCAGTGGAACTTAACATAATGAGCCTTCCCTTCTTTGTTGACGAGAGTGTAGGTGTTGACACCGGAACCATCCATGTGCCTGTAATCCTGTGGAACACCAACATCGTCGAAGAGGAAGGTGAACATGTGCAAGCTCTCTGGATGGTGTGAGAAAAAGTCAACGATCCTCCAATTTTCTTGGATATGGGATTTTGGGTTTGGCTTGAGAGAATGCACCATGTCAGGGAACTTTATCCCATCACGGATGAAGAAGACAGGGAAGTTGTTCCCAACAAGATCAAAGTTACCCTGAAGATAATGGATAAAGCTAAGAATAGTAAGCACAAATGAATTATTTATAAACTAAAGTATTATAAATCATAGTAGCTCCACCACAAAGATGTTAATTCTAGATGATTAATTGAGATTATAAAAGCGATGACAACATGAACGACGTGTGTGTCGACCTTTGGTGGGCCGAACTTCATTTGTCAGCGTAAGGTAGCTCAGTAATCACAGAAATAATTAGAGATGACTTAGATATCGGCAAAATGGCCAGATTGGTATATTTTCTAGGGTCTTGGTGACAAGTTGGTATATTTTTTTAAGTTTTGTCATATTGGTATAAAATTTCAACTCCGGCGCCATATAGGCCTTAAGTTTGGCCGGAGTCAATTTTCCGGCCATTATTCTCACGCGACAGCTCACGTGACCCCGACGTGGCCTTTACGTGGATTCCAGCGTGGCAGGTGGTTGGGATGAATAAATTTTGACAAAAGGGGGGTTTATATCTCTGATTAGGGCTTCCATCTTCTTCTTCCTCCTCCTTCTTACTCCATCTTCTTCTTCTTACTCCATCTTATTCTTCCTCCTAGGGTTAGGGTTAGGTTCAGTGGGAGTTAAATTAGTGATGGATTCGTCATCTTCAAGCTGTCGCTCAAGATCAGTGTCAAGCATGAGCATTGGAAGAAGCAGGCAAGGGTTCAATGGAATAAAAGCTATACGATAGTGGAATGATCTAGCAAAGCAATCTGGGGTGAAGGTTTGTAATTGTGGTTTGGATTGCGAATATTTTACTTCTATGACTGATGAAAATCCAGGACGGAGGTTCTACAAATGTCGCAATCAGCATGTAAGTTAAATTTACTTCCTCATTTGTTGCAGTAATCAACTGCAGTTTTTACTTAGAAGTTGGAATTTTTTGCGCATCTTACTTGATAATAGTCTCCTTGATTTTTGAGTAATGATAGGCTGGTGGTTGTGGCATTTGGGAATGGATTGACAAACCAATGTGTAGTGTTGGATGTCAATTGTTTCCACTTCTAAGAGAGGAGATCAATGATTTGAGGAATACGTTGCTGTTGAAGGAGGAGTTACTTCAAAGGTGTGAAAATCAGCTAAGAGGATGCAATGAGGAAATTTACAAGCTAAAAGAGCATGTCGAATTGTCTCAACACGAGGCTGCTTCTTGTTTGGAAGAAGTGCAGAAAATGATGAAAGAAAGATTAGAATTGCAGGAAAATGTTGCAAAAGAAAAAAGGATTATTAAGTTTATTTTGTTATTCTGTATGTTTACACTCTGTTTAATTCTGTATGTTATAATGTGAAGATGGTTGTAATGTGAAAGTGGATGCTGATGTGAATAAAGCACAGTATTTTGACAGATTGGTAAATTGAACTCCTAATGTGTGTTGTTGATTGTGCATGAATAAATGAACTTTCTTGATTGTTATATACAGGCATGAATGCACATGAACTGGTGCAATGACTTGTATAACCAAATGTACATGACCTGGTTCAATGACATGAATTCAATTGTACCTGTTGGACCCATATTGCACATGACCTGGTTCAATGATGTCAACAAAGGGATCGACATGAAGTAGACATATAAACTTTAAACATGCCAAACAAATGAACATCCAGAATACCAAATGTATTAGGTAGAACATTGCTTGGAAACTACTGTGACACACAACAAAACACAAAATACCAAGTGCATGTAAGTTACAGGACTTTATCACATAACATAACACAAAATACTAAATAGAACATGCCCAGATAGAACTGATCAACACACTATACAATAACAACTTTGTTCCCAAAATACTAAACAGAACTTTAACCATCTTTGTTCCCAAAATACAATAACCAGACAGTAACAACTTTATCACATAACATAACACAAAATACTAAACAGAACTTTAACCAACTTTGTTCCCAAAATACAATAACCAGACAGTAACAACTTTATCACATAACATAACACAAAATACTAAACAGAACTTTAACCAACTTTGTTCCCAAAATACAATAACCAGACAGTAACAACTTTGTGCCAAAATAACATTAACCATACATGAACAACTTTGTCCCAAAATATCTCAGAAGCTGGTTATCTACTCACATCTAATTCTGTTCAGGCTTCCCTTTGGTCTCCCTTTTTTCCTCACTTGAGATGGTCCTTCATCAACTCTTGTTCCTTGTGATTCCTTCAAGATGGATCAGGTAAGGCTTAAGTTGTTTAATGAACACAAAATACAGCTGCAAAAAAAAAAGCTTACTTGTGTAGTTTGTTGCCTTGGTGGTGCAGTAGGGCACTTTCTCCGTGTATGTTCACTTGATTCACAATGGGTGCATCGTCCTTGCACACCTTGCCTTGATGCCTTAAATTGATTTCTTAAACCTTCTGAAGGGTCCCTCCTTCTAGCATGTTTGGGCCTCCCCATTGGCTTCCTAATACTGTGAGGAGGCAACACAGATCCCTCCTGTTGAAGGTCCCAAAATTTGGTACCTTGCACAGGGTTTAACAAGCTCTCATAAGCATTTTTGTAAGCTTCACTTTTGTACCAATGAGCAACAAAATCTCCTGGATTCTTTCTCATGAACAATATTGCACTAATGGCATGACAACATGGAATTCCAGTCAAGTCCCAAACCCTACAAGAACAGGTATTTTCACCCAAGTTAACCTCATGGCCAATCCCTCTGTGATGTATCTCAAATCCACTGTAGTCATTTGTTCCCGACCAACGTGTTTGACAGTGCAATTGTTCTTGATATCCCTCTTTGATTTTCTTGCTTATCCTAGGTGCAATCCCACCCACAAATTGTGTAATCAACTTCCTTTTTAACTGCATCCTATCCATCATGGCAAGTCTAATGTCTTCTAGCATAGAAATTATTGGCTTGTATCTTGCAAGAAGGATGAATGAGTTGAAGGTTTCGGACATATTGTTGTCGACACTGTCACATTGGCTATGACATTTAAAATGGGACTTACAGAAGGTGTGAGGATCCCTTGCCATGAAGTCGTCGTATGCCTTTTGAGAGTAATCCTTGAGTTTGCCAGCCTCTCTTGCAAAATCCCCCATGGAGGTTGCCTTCACACAATACCAAAATTGTTTTTGAAGAGTTCTTCCAGTATGTGCTTTCCTCCAATTGGAATAAATGTGTCTTGCACATTGCCTATGCTCCACTTGGGGCCAAACTTCATGTATAGCTGGAACTAAACCCTGATTAAACAAAAAAACATACTCAAATATGTAAATATGTAGCCCAGATAGAGATTAAACTGAATATGACATGAAATTGATCCTTACCTTTTGTTGGTCTGAAATTACTGTCCATCCCTCTCCCTCTCCCATGTTGAGATCATTGGATAAGATTCTCATAAACCATTCCCAAGAGCTCCTTGTTTCAGCCTCCACAACAGCCCACGCAATTGGCCACATCTGATTATTGCCGTCTCTCCCCACGGCACTTAACAATTGCCCACCACATGCATGTTTAAGAAAGCACCCATCAAGTCCAAATATAGGTCTACAATTGTTGGCGAACCCCCTTTGCATGTTTAAGAAAGCACCCATCAAGTCCAAATATAGGTCTACAATTGTTGGCGAACCCCCTTCTCATGACTGAGAACACAGGAATGGATTCAGTATGGCCTAAAAAAACTGCACATACAAGCTTTTGATAAAACTTCAAAATTTTCTAACAAACACATTTACTTTACCTGCAAAGCACACGTAGAATCTTTGAAAGACTCCTGATTCTGATGATTCACTTTGATCTGTGACCTTCAGAAGGCATGTACTTCCATCATTACTCCTTAAGAGCTCTCTCATGTATGGCTTTAACAAGCCATATTGCTTCTTAAACAAACCATCTACTGCATTCAAAGCCCTACTCTTTGCCCTCCTACATTTCCTTAAATCCACTATGATCTCATATTGTTTTTGCATTTCTGCTTTCATGTCTCTGGGCTTGAACTTAGGATCCCTCAGAAAGTTGTCAATAAATTTTCCTGCAAGCCAACCTTCAGTGATTAGCCTATTCTTGAATGTCCTGACACAAGTATGATAAGGGTGCATACAATTGATTTTCCAAGCACTAGCATCATCACGACATGGTGTAGCATTTAGCTGCCAATGACAGAGTGACCAATTCACATTCAACTGCCTCTTATCATTTTTTCCATAAACAATGTCATAGTGTTGTTGTATGGAGTAATTCAATATTGCTTCTTTTAATATTTCCCTTGACGTGAACTTCAATCCTACTGTCAATTTAACATTTTTCATGTCAACTTCTTCATTAAAAAATGGATACTTGACCTTTGATGCCCTTTTTTGTAAACTTTGGACAAGAGTTTCATCCTCATCACTTGCCATTATGGGACCTTCATCACCACTTGATCTAGGATCTGATTCATATCCACCATCATAATTTGTAAAAAATTCTGGCCATGACTGTTGTTGTGGTTCAGTGGTTGATGGCCCAGGTTCATCAACTGTGTTGTCAGCTCTTGAATGCACTCCTTCATGGGGTGATGTTGGTACATTAGCATTAACCACTCGAGGGGGTCTGACAGTGTTAAATTGAAAGGAGTTACCTGCATCAACACCATCTCCTAGTTTGGCACCAGAGTTTAAAGCAATGTGGCCCATCTCTTGACTTAGATTCTCCTTATTGCATTGCCTAATCTCATTCAGTTCCTCGTCTTCACTACATATAGCAGCTTGAAAGAAATCATCACTGTAAGCACCGTGAACCTCATTCACTGCCTCCCTATCTTCCTGGCCTGGTTCAAGCACACTCTCATTGCCCTCCACATTCACTGGCTCCCTAGGTTCATTATTTGGTTCAGGCACACTATCATTGCCCTCCACATTCACTGTAGGCACTGTCATCCTCTTTCTCTTGCATATTCTTCTTTTTTTTCCTTGTCATTATTGCTAAACTCATCAAATAGTTCATCTTCATCAAAGTCATCATCTGCAAATGCCTCCCTAGGATCCATTCTGTAATTCTCATCCTCCACAGAGTCGTCACTATCACTAGATGGACTTGCCTGCTGTTGTGCACTACACTGATCATCTAAAGAGGCTGAAAATAATGCTTTTTGTTGTGGCAGGGTTTCACTGAAGGTTGACAACTTGGTTGCCCTCCTGGGTGTTAGTTTCTTCCTGGAGGTTGAAGGATATGTTACCTTCCTCTTGCATGTTGCTTTCTTGGGTGTTTGTTTCTCATTGGCACTAGCAGTGGCTCTCCTGGGTATTGATCTCCTGGGTCCTGCTACTGTCACCTTCTCATTGGCACTAGCAGTGGCTCTCCTGGGTGTTGATCTCCTGGGTGTTGATCTCATGGGTCCTGCTACTGTCACCTTCTTTTTAGGAGTGGTCGCTTTTGGCATTTGCATATCTTCTTGCACCCCTTCCAACAACAGCTCATCACAATCTTCCATAATAACTTCTGCAGGTTGATCAATGCCATGTTCAACATAGATTTCAATTGCCTTCACCCTTTCTGCATGTTCTAGCATTTCAATGAAGGAACATTCATCACTTAGAGACCTTAATCCACCATTTGCAACCCCTACACCAGGAACACAGTAGAACAAGCCGTTGACATTGTTATACCCAATTGCACTAATTTCATCCATCAGTCTTCTATGCTCAGATCCTCTTTGTCTATAAACCTAACATCAAATCTACCACCAACATAATCTTCAACCCAGCCCATCGGAAAACTTCCTCCATGTCTGATTTTAACCAATATTTGGAGACTCATCTGCAATATCACAATAAAAACCCTAACTCCTCACTAAACCCATCAAAAAAACCCTAATTTACAATAAACCCGTCAAATTTCCATGTATTAGTTTCAAAAATATGAAATTTCCACTCACCTTTTGCTCCGCGCCAAAGAAGATGAAGTAGATGGAAGCCTTGAACTTCGATCGTCTGTAATTTGGGGATCGTTACGCTCTAGGGTTCTACGATTTTCTTCTGTAATTGGGGAAGAGAGGGAAATTAAAGAATGGGATTGAATTACTGCTCTTCTGCGATTTTCTAGGCAAACCGCTCACTTATTCCCGCTAAATTTCGTCACGCTGGAATCCACGTAAAGGCCACGTCGGAGTCACGTGAGCTGTCGCGTGAGAATAATGGCCGGAAAATTGACTCCGGCCAAACTTAAGGCTTATATGGCGCCGGAGTTGAAATTTTATACCAATATGACAAAACTTAAAAAAAAATATACCAACTTGTCACCAAGACCCTAGAAAATATACCAATCTGGCCATTTTGCCCTTAGATATCAATGAGATTGTAGAAATGAGAGTAACATGTAAACTAGTCGTGTGGTTGACCATTGGTGGGTAAAACTTCATATCAGTATAAGGTTTCAGTGGTCACAGAAATAACTAGAGAAAGCAACTGGATAGTTTCAAAAGCTACGAACACTAACAATTTATAAGCATGTTTATTGTATCACTTGAAGGACCGCAAAGGTGGGTTCTAACTCGCAATTGAAAATTTGAGAGAAGATGTGTGGATAGATTTTAACTCTTCAGATTGACTGAAAGCATGAAACCTCAAAGTCTCCCAAAAATACACATACTTAAAAGGTTCACATAAATTAACCTCTCGATATTTAGGTTTCTGTTAGAGAAAGAGCTTCACAGCCTTGCCTTGTAGGACAACAAATGGTCTGTTGACGCAAACAGATCCCATTATCTTACACATCCCATTATCTTACACACGGCTACGTAGCCTTGGCCACTAAGAAATTCTACGCCCAAACTAGTAAAACTGAAAAAGCACAGAATCCAAGTCTCTCTAGCTAGTAACAAACTATATGCCAAAACCACCTATCAAAGAATTCAAAGTGTAATTTGGCAGAAGATGTGTCAATAGATTTTAACTCTTCAAATTGATTGAAAGGATACAAGGCAAAAAAAACTCCCAAAAAAGTACCACATACTCAACTTGAACGGTTCAACATATTAACTTCTGAATCCTTCATTTTCTTTTAGACAAGAAATGGAGCTTCACAGTCTTGAAGGACAAGAAATTATTTGTAAACACACAAATTCTCAGTATCTGGCATGGCCATGGAGCGTGGGGCACCAAGAGATTCTATGCCAAAACTAGTACAAGTAAAAAAGCAATAGAATCTAAATGTCTCTAGCCACTAAGAAATTCTATGCCAAAACTAACTAGCAAGAACGTAAGAGTGTACTTGAGGAATGTAGAACTGAGCCTTTACCTCTCTGGTGTAGAACTTCACGGCAAAGCCTCGTGGGTCTCTCAAGGTTTCAGGACTCCCGCGCTCATGAATGACAGTCGAGAAGCGAACAATGACAGGGGTCTGCACCCCTGGAGCCCGAAGGAAATCAGCACAAGTGAGATGAGAAACATTGTGAGTCACCTCAAAGAAACCCTTGGCACTGGCTCCCCTAGCATGAACAACACGTTCAGGAATGCGTTCTCTATCGAATTGTGCAAGCTTCTCAATGAGATGATAGTCCTCAAGAAGAATAGGCCCTGTCAACATGATTAACACCATTCAATCACACAATAAATAAGGTAAAGAAATGGTGCCAACAGGATTAACATCATTCAACCTCATAAAAACAAGGATGAAAAGGAAATGCATTAGTAAAGCCTTTATTAGCTGGATCTCTAAGAAAACAAATGCAGTATTCATACAAAAAGGAGCGGTTAAGGCTAGAGCTGTAAATTGATGTCTTAAATACCTAAATTCACTTCCCATCAGCATCCACTAATTGAATATAGATAGTGATAATCAAAACCCAAATAAAAAATAATTGAGACATGCCCATATATGTTCTACTTATTTGCTTAGCTCGTGTGAGTGGTCTGGGGGTGGGGGGGGTGGCGGATAGGTATGACATGGCACTTCATTTTGATAAAGATGGACTATCAGTGAGGTTCACCATGTTAGTCACATTGGAAAGGTGCGGACCTCACTTCTATCTCTTCATATTTATTTTGCTAAATAAGTTCGCAACTCGTATCTATTATCCCATGGGTGAGTGGGTGGTGTGTGACACCTCTCTCTATTGATTTAAAATTTTACTTCCATATATATGAATCGTCTCTAATGCAAAAGGAGAAGTCATTTGCTAAATCACAGCCATCCATTTATATTTAAGACACTTATGATTAATTCCAAATATAAAATGACCACACTTTCCCGTCAATTACATTCATTCCCCCTTTTCACTCATAAATGTCATAATTATTTCACAAAATAATAAATGGTTTCAATGGAGAGGATCCAAATCCCACCTTCCCTGCAGGACACCACAAGGAAAAGAAAGAACATCTCTGGCCATTTTCTTCATTAAGTTCTATTGACTACTAAAATGGGCGAAGTCACCTGTTTTATCACATTAAACAATAAAAAATTCCCCTGTTTATCAAATTAAACAATAAAAAATAACCTCCCGTCTTTAGACATCTTTATGTACTTTAAATTGTTATTTTTTAGGCTAAATTGCACTTAAATACCCTATTGTTTCACCAAAAAGCAATTATACACCCCCTAAGTTACAAAACGGAGTAAATATATACCATGAGTTGTAAAAAAGGTGCACATTGCCACATTATACTAACCTGCCATGAGAATATTCACAGGTGCTCATCACATGACAATTTTAAATGTCATCTACCCTCATTAATTGTATTAATTACAATTTTACGTACCTCTTTCTCCTTATCAAATACCATTCATTCTCTTCTTATTTTTCTTCTTTAGATTCTCAAGCACTTCAATCGTGAAATTAGGGCATCATCATACATTTTGGGGAAAAAATCTGGGAGTTGTGGGGAACAGTAAAAGTGAGGTTTTTTTAACCCTGGGGGTCATTTTCGGAGAAAGGCAATCATGTCCTTTTGGGTAAAACTTAACAGCATTTAAGAAAATCACACTGCAGAGACAACTCATGGTATATATTTGCTCTGTTTTGTAACTTAGGGTATATAAGTGCACTTCTGGGGAAAAAAAATAGGTATGTAAGTGCAATTTAGCCTAATTTTTATTAATGTCTCCCAATAACACCAAGGGGCTGTTTGGTTGTATGTTTTTATCATGTAAAAGGATGGAAAGTGTAAAAAAAAGAGTCCCAATGTCAGCTTTCATCACTTTTAATTGTTTGTTGTAGTTGTGAAAATAGTGTAAAGTGATTTCATATGCCGATGTGGCTCGTAAAGTGATTTCATAAAAAAAGACATGATTTTAGGAGAAAACCGACATTGAAGTCAGGAAAAAATAATAATAAATAATTCCAACCAATATGATCATTTGAGTAGGGACCACTTTTTACACTTTCCAAACAAACAATTAAAGTTACATTTGCAAACCAAACAAGCAATTTATGATTCCAATAGAATAAAAAACAAACAAAGAAAAGTATAAAAGTGAAATTGATGAGGTGGACAACAACTTTCCAAGTTGTGTCATAAATACACAACTTTACCAACAACAACCAAACATCCTCCAAAAAGCTGCAAAACTTACACAACTAGTTATCAACTAAAAAGTTCCCTTTCTTGTCAATTTAGATTCTTTCAACCGCACAATTATTGCAGTGTCTATCTATCAAATAAACAAAACAAGTCAGATAATTAACTCAATAAAAATTAAACATTTAACCCCATAAAAAGTACTCAACTATGTTGCTCCGATCAAAGCTTAGTTACCCTTTTAATTCCAATTTCATAAAGAAACATAATGGGGTTTCCAATTGGACCTCAAAACCATATTATGTAATACACTTAAAAGATAATCAAATTTTCTTGATTGACCCTCGTATTCACAAAAGAGAAACCCTTACAGGCCCTACAGCAATCAAGGAACTGTTTCCCATCCATTCTGATTCTAACAACCGCGCAGTTGTCGCCTATATTTATCGAATAAACCACATGATTGACAGCTAAACGCTCAACTCTTACAAAATCTTTCCCAACTATTCACCATATTCAAATCATATTCTCTTTATACTAATAATTAGCGGGCCTTCAATCCCAATTTCATAAAGAAAACACAGCGGGATTTCCATTTGTCCCTCAAAAACTTTCTACCCAACACAGTTTTTAAAAAATCAAAATTTTCTTGAGTAAACCTCAGATTCATCAAAAAGAGACGCTAAGTATTAACAGTACGCAATTGTTGTCTATATTTACCAGAAAAAAAAAACATAAATTGTCACAAGAGACGACTAAACACTCAAACCCCACGAAACTGTTTTCAAATATCCCCTTGTGATACTAATAATCAGCGGGCCTTTAATTCCAATTTAAACAATATTAAAAAAATCAAACAATTGTTGATTTGCCTCAGATTCATCGTAAGAAGGAATACCTCGAGATCCTACGGTGAGAGAGGAGTTATTGTTCCAGACCGGAGCACCGGAGTTGGTGGTCCAAAAGTGCGAGTTGAAAGCGCTCGATGGTCGATGCTGTCACAAAACAAGATCAAAAATCAAAACATTAAGATGAATCGCCTTAACCCTAAACAAATCAAGGATCGAGAGAGAAATTAGACACCTTGTACGGATCCATGGCGATGGAGAAATCGACGAGAAAACCTTTTTTCCTTTTTCTTTTTTTTTCCCCTTTTTTTTCCCGCACGCACCGATGCCTTAGGTGAGCATTTGTAAGGGGCGAAGATGTTCATTAGTTACGTGGGGCCCAGTTGAGAGCTGGGGCCGGGGGGCTACGTGGCGCATGGAAGTAGCGCGAGGTCGCATTTTTTACACGCTGCGGGTGAGATGTTTGTGGGTTGGACTTTTTTATGCGAGTGACCGCAAAATTTGTGGATCACGTGATTGGTTGGAGACTAATTTTGGAGGCAATTTATCTCGTCCCGAAAAAATCGAAAATACTCTGTAGCGAAATGGCGTGCAATTGGAATTTTCTGTGCCGTTACGCTCAAAATATTTGAGAGGTGTACTAATTTTGTTTTGACTTTTTTTTTTTTTGGGGGGTTTCACTAGTGAACATACAGCTTTGATCTATTACTTATAGGCAGTTTACCAACTCGGCTGGACCCTAATGAGTAGTAGTTTCTATTTATGAGGTGAGCATTTTTGAACATGCATAGATCCTATGATTATACCGTGACAAAAATCTGATTGTTGTGAGTACCGTATCAAATGCACTTCATCTTTCCTTCGCTAGTGCTAGTATTACTTGTACTATTATTATTAGTATTGGAATTAGTACTCTGATTGTTATCAGTATAAATTACCACACATTTGCTTTTCTTTGGACAAATTTCATGATATTCTGTCGATTCTTCTTCATTTTCTTTCTCTTCTTCTTCTTCTATATATATACGTGTGTGTTTGTGTGTGTGTGCGCGTGCTTTTTCATGTTTTATTCTGGGATCTTTTGTTTTTATAAATAAAACTCGTGTTTCTTTTTTAATAAATTACTTCGATTCACAGAAGCTTCTTTTACAGATTATCTTGAAAAGTTTCCTAAGCTATATTTTTTTATTTCAAAGTACACTCAGTAAGAATTTATCAGCCTGTCAAATCTTTTTAAGTAAAATAATCTCTTCAAGATATTTTAGCTGTTCTTTTTTCCTTTGGCCAATTTAAATAATTGATTAATTATTTACATTAGGATAGTTTTGCCAACAACAAAAGCAAAAACTCTTCAGAGGCCATAAGTCATAACTCATAACTCCCAAAATTAATATTTCCTATCATCTTCTTCTGCGGACGTCAGACGGTGATGGGGACCCTTATCTCCTTCGGCCTTTTCTAAAACCACCTCAAAACCACTGGTCATCGCTGACATGTCCCACCTTAATATCCGCCACGCGTCCCATTGCGTTCTGGGTTCGTGTGCTCTGCAGCTCGAAGCGTTCTCACTGCTAGGGTTGCTAAACGGTCAAATCAAATCGAATACTAAAAAGTTCGTATTTATATTTATTTAAAATTATCGAATTCGAATGCGAACTCTAATATTCATATATGGAGTTTTTCGAATTTAAACTCTAATACTTCGTATTTGATAAATATTCATCAATATTTATCGAATATTAAAGTATATTTATTCTGCTAAAAAATTTACTTTTTAAATAGTATTTAAATTCATAAATAAAAATTATTCTTTTATAAAATTTTATTAGAAAACAGATTTAAGATTATTTAAATTTTAAAATCAGTACATAAAACTTGAGTAGAAATTATAAATGGATTAAAAATATGATATCATATATGCAATAATACAAATAATAAGTGGTCAAATTTTAAACGAATATTTAATAGACAAACGAATTGAATATACATCTAGTTAAATTCTATTCTTAGTAAAGTCGAATATTAAAAATATTTGTTTAATGATAAATAAAGTATCGAATCGAATGTGACCGAATAATTATTCAAACAATTATCGAACTATATGGTAATTATTTGGTTCATTCCCCCCTCCACCCACTGGAGCAACGGATATGGATCGGATAGCGTTCGCATAGAAACAATGAGAGAAGGTGTCCGCATAACAACAATATGCGCATAAGGGAATCTCTTAAAACGGAACCCTTTTCACACTGGATCTATCAAATGGACAACGAATCGGTCTCGAGCTTGTGCGTTTGGACAAACTTTGAGATTGAGAGCAAACATTGGGCTCGTTAAGGCCCATTAAAGGAAACAGTGACGATAAAACGTCGACGAAGTGGCCACAAAATTTTTCTGGACTAAAGTTTATTTCCTTTTATTTCTCTTTTGAACCTCATAAATTTACTTCGTGAAACCACTATTTTGTAGACGAGGAAGGCTACAAACAAACAAGGAAACGTCTACAGAAGCATGTCCATTAATTTTCAGGAGAAATAATAATTATCCTGATACTTCTTCTCGGCCTCTTGTATTATGAAAAATCTTCGCGATGTAACAATATCTTTCAATGTTACATAGCCATGTAAATGCGAAAAAATAAAAATAAAAAATCACAGAGAATTTTGGCAAGTTAGCTTTGGAAACCTCAAGCTAAAAAAGATTTACATTTTGGTTTGATAATTTATGGAAAAGAGGTCTTTAAAAGCTCCGCCATGCCAATTTTTTCATGAAACTCATTTCAACCACGAAAACCTCTTGAAAATAATACAGATCATACAGGTAAGGAAACCACCGATACATGTTTCAGTAACCACTTTAATTAATACGAACTGTATACCGAAAATAATATACGAAATCAATATAAATAATTAAAAAAAATAGTACAAATGGAGATAATGAGTGCAGATATAACGGTGAATCAACATAAACAGCTAGCACCCAGAATCAATGAACTCACAACTGGCGTTGAAACGCGTCGCAGGCTCTTTTCTTCCTTCCTGTGTGATTGTCTATAGAAAGCCCTCAAAGGTGAATTTTCTTAGATAGCAGCCGATTTACACCATAAAAGGCACTAAAGACAATATTCTATAGAACACATATATTGTGGAAAATTTCTCTCAACTAGATCATAATTTACACCTTGCCAAAAAGGCAGACCTGAAAACTGACTCATTTGAACTTGGAACCATTCAACAATGAAAATCCAGGTCTCAACTACATGAACCACAACACATGACTGCACAAAAATCTCGTTTTCTCCCTTATGAAAGCCCAGAATTATATCAACGGCCTTCACGGCCTCATCGTTCCTCTCGGGCTACAGATGATTGAAACTGAGCAGGGAATGACGCACGTCGATCTGGAGAAGCTTTATTCAACACATTCAAAACCCTCACTCTATGCAACTCCTTACCTGAGAAAATTGAAAAATAAAACACAACAAATTCTACAAAAATCCTCTTCGAGAATGCCAACGGTAAGCGCATGACAAATTACAAGTATGATAGGGTATAGATTACCTTCTTCCAGTGTAAGATGTATTGCTCTTTTCTCTAACTCATATGCATGCCTACTCCTTTCTGCTGCTGATAAGGATATAAGCTCTAAAATCATCATGAAAAACAATTCAAGAGATTATCATATAATGAATTTGTTCACACCATGGAAAATCCAACTCAGGAAAACTTAGGTTAAATTTCACAAAACCCCTTTAAGTTTAGCCTTAAAAATGTTCCCTAGCCTTAAAAATGTTCCTTAACTCCCCTTAAGTTCATGGTGTTCCAGAAAACCTCCAAAAGTTTTTAAATTTTCACCTAATCCTCCTAACAATATTTAGATGAACTTGTGAAAAGACGAAAATTCCCATTTTAGAACTCTAATTATGAAATTAAATTAAATCAATTGGCAGCTAGGGTTAGAGGGGGTTATAACAAAATTTGACCAAACTAAAGGGGTTTTTTCCATCAGGTGTATTTTGTTCATTAGATGCATGTCGTCTTCACATGCACAGTTAGACCCAACGGTGTTACTTAGAGGGGTTAACTGACAGAACTTAAAGGGGTTTCAGTGACATTTCTAAAGTTTAGGGGGTTATCTCAAAAGCGATCAAACTTAAAGGGGTTTTGTGAAATTTATCTGAATACTTACTATGAATATAATCCTCGTGATTTGACTGGTCGCAGGATTTCAAGAACATTTCTGTAGTCTTGGTTCAACCGCTCTTTCCAATGTTGGATTGCCTAGGCTTTTGGGGTTCAGGCCGAAAAGGGAAAGAAACAGCACTTGACTTGCTATCAGGCTGGAAGGGAACTGCAACTGGAGCTGAAGAACAATTTAATGTGGGCACTGGTAACTCATTGATAGAGTAATCATTCCTAGATTTCTTCAGTGGTGGAGAATCAGAACTGCCACCGTTGATCTTTGCTGATTCTCTTTCATGTTTCCTAGTGTCAAAATTGTTATTGTTGATCTTTCCTGAATCTGTTTCGAGTTTTCTACGAACATATACAAGAGGCCCATTAGGACTCGCAAGGCAACTAGGCTTCACAGTATCCTTGACTGGTGTTTTGTCCATGGGGAATGGAGAATTCCCGGGTGATTTGTGAATGGTGTTTCTATTCTCATTAGGTATCTCTCTTAGTGCAGATTTCTTGGCTGAGATCGGCTGTTGCTTGTCTCCAGTGGCCATGACAGTTCCAGAGTTGACAAATAGGCACTCAGTTATCTCTCTTAGTGCAGAAACACAGGAGGTCACAACTCTCTTTAAATAGAAAGTTAACTGAAATGTAAGGGAAGGAGGCTGAACTCAATCAGAATTCCATCAATACATGTCAGCGGCAAACTGAAAAATTAAACAAGGATGAAATGACAATGCTAGCAAATGGGAGGATAATGTATAAGAAAATCAATAAGAATGACATGGAGTACATAAAAAAGGAAATAATTCGGAATTTATGGACAAATGATATGTTTATTTGTTTAAGGAGAAAAGGCAGAAGGAGGTTTGTGCGGGAGTGACAAATCAAGTTTATGACATTTGAATAATTAACGACATTTACCAAATCTAGATAGTCTTCAACAGTGTATGGACTAGATAGTTAAAAAGTAAATAATACAAACTTAATACAACCGTAGAAGTTTCTAAATGACTGGCTTTATCACTACATAACACCGAGACATAACATATTTGGTATGATCAATCTAAGAGGTACTTTCCAGTATATTTTGTGTGTTCTGCTTCACCAATACAAAGCAATTTTACTTCACAAGTTTAATTAGAACTTCACCAATCGTCATAAATTCTATACTATTTATAATAAAAGAGGGACGAGTTTCAAAAATTTTGATTTCCAAAATATCCTTCGAAGTTCATCAAATCACCAAATTGCACTCAAAGTCTCATTCGATCTTATATCTAATACTTCTAATCCAATAAATTTCTATCCGCTACAATTCACCATGATTATATTCAAAGAACATGATGATGATGATGATAAATAAATATGCAAATAACATGATAATGATGGTACTGTAAAAAGTCACCAAATTGGTGATCCCACTAACCATTTAGCCTTCTCCATCCTACCCATAACAGTTAATCCACTTTTACGTTCCTCATTCACCTTTAATTGCACCATTATCTCCCCTTTAAAGACATCCAATTACATCCTTCATCTCTCTAACTTCTCCACCATCATAACCCTCTTATTAGCTACTACTACACTATAAAATATTCACCATCTTCAACAAATATAATAATATAACAGCGTCAGCAACGCTTGCAACGATGTAATAGTGTTCGGGTACTCCAATCGGAAAGTCAGACAAAGATCAAGATCAGCATCTGCATCATGGAAAAGAAGGCGAAATAAGGATTGGAGATTCTTTTCCTTTTTCCGATGTCGTTTCTTCCATCTTCTTCTTCTTCTTTTTAATCTATTTGGAAATGGTAATAAAATAAGATGCAGGTCATGTTTTTTCTTTTTCTTTTTTTCACTCCCTCAGGCCCTGGACATATGGTAGATATTCGGAGAATTCAAGGTATCTTTAGATTCCATACATGAATACTCAAATGGAGTTCTTTTGATTATGGTGATCCAGCTTGAGAAAAATTGAAATCAAATTAAGAGTGATATTTCTAAGATCACAAAATGTACATGCACAACATTTATCACTGTACCTATTAATACTATGAAGTAACGAACATATAGAAATTTAGTGATATGTTATTTACTTTTCACAATAGATATAAATGCAAAACTATAATAGGATCATGGACTGAATTATTCAGATATGGGATCTCATTTCAGAGGAGGAGCATTTGTCAGTGATGAATTTAGAAGGACAAATCTTAGTAGTTATCTGATAACTGAAGTCATTCAGTCATGACTAGGTGTTATGAGATGATTTTCGTTGAATAAAGAATAAGCACTGTTCATAATTTATTTACAATTACTGGACCACATGGAAGAGAAACCACGTCATCCTCTCTCACCTCTTGATGTGCATTATCAGTTTGTTCAGTAGATTGACTTAACCGAGTTTGTTGTATGACTTAACTGTGAAAGTACATTGTCATCCTCTCTCACCTCTTAATGCGCAATATCAGTTGTTCAGTAGATTGACTTAACTGAGTTTGTTGTATGACTTTAACTGTGAAAGTATATTCACTGTATATGAAATCTTCAAATTCATAAATCACATGACAAGGAAATACATTATGTATAATATTTAATATTTCAATTGATCTATGGCATGTCACCATGCAGGCACATGCAACCATATCCCCTGTTAGTAAAGATCTACTTCAATTATATTACTTCATTATATTATTTCATCTTTAGCATCCACATGACCACATCACCTGTTATATTTGATGCTTAATTTGTTTATCTTTAGCATTTATAACTTTTGACAATAGGATTATCCTTGACGTATGTTGTGTACAGATAGTGTGACCATCACTATATTATTATAAGTTTATCAGGATTATCCTTGACGTATGTTGTGTACAGATAGTGTGACCATCACTATATTATTATAAGTTTATAGCAACAAAGGCCTGCATGCATGTGTAGTGTACAGATAGTGTGACCATCACTATATTATTATAAGTTTATAGCAACAAAGGCCTGCATGCATGTGTATCACAAAAAAAAAGTTTCCTTCAGCATATCAATTCTCAGTGTAATGATATTTTTTTATGCATCCTTCTACAAGCAATTTTTGATTACAAATGTAAAGAATTTCATATGTACTTATCCATTATATATATGTACTTATCAATTATATATAAATTTAAGAATTTATATTGTTTAGAAGTCACTTACCTTTGTCCAGTTAATGAAAAAAAATTCGAGGAACTAAACAAATACGTCCACATGAAAAGCAGGTGCACTATACTAGTCATTGATAGAAAAGAACATGTGTATTATATGTGCTTTAATGCTTATCCTTTTGTTGCTTGTCTGAAGCCAAAATAAAGGAGGATTTTGTTAGATAGCCGACAAACAACATATTAATTTCTAATTGCACATACATCAAGTGATTGCAAAGTTAACAGTTTCGCGACAATATGACTAAAAATACAACTTAAAACATGGTCGAAAATATGGAAGCATCAAGAATTTTCCATTTATAGATGTTTTAATTTTTAAGATATATAAACCATGATGGATGTAAAGCATCATTCATTAAAATAGTACAAGTAATGGATCAAAAGGTCTCTTTAATTCTATGGTCAGAAAACCTTAAAAAAAATTTCAACAAGTTAATGCATTGATAACGTGTCCTGTATGCATGACGTATTGTTCACATACCGATTAAAGCATGTACATCAACAAGAACAGATTTGGTTGTGTTCTTTTGGTTTGGTTTGTGTGTGTGAATTAACGTAACTAGGCACATTCACCAATAAGTTAGCTGTTCATGAGAGTTAGATCATTGCCCCCCACTTAAATTAGTTCTGCACTGTAGTTGTGAAATAGCATGGTCAGACACAAGACAAAGAAGCGAATCACGTATCTTCCTCACTTTAATATATTCATAATAACAATCTTCTTGCCACAAAACTCACCATTTCTCCGCCAGTTTTCCTTACAGCAAACATATAATCCCTTAAACACTACACAATTACACATTCACACTGAAAAACTCCAACAAGCCCATGAAACCCATCATCACTTTCAGGTTGGACTTTGGGATTAGCTAGGCTTGGTCGACAGAAGGGCATCCATGTGTTGTTGAGGGTGAGGTTACAAAGAAGAGGGAGAGGCTGGTGGGGATTCAGGGATTAGAACAGGACAGAGAGTAGGCCCTGGTAGTAGTGTCAAAGAGAACAAGATTTAAATTTAAAAGTTAAATTTGGACTATGATGTGTATTGATCTCTGAATACTCTTTCGAGATGGAATATGATTTGGATGACAATTAGAGAGATCCACATGCAAACTAAACAACTTTGATAGATTCAGTAAAGTACAAATCAAGGATCAACATGAAATTACATCAAATACCTCGGATAGATATGGGAGGAAAAATAAATAAAATTCAGCATAAGGAATAAAAAGGAAATGCTAAAAACTCTTCTAACTCAGGAAGTTGAGAATGTTCACAAGTAAATAATAGGAAATAGTACTAGAGAAGTTAATCCAAGTGTAAATTTTTGAGACAGTTAAAAGCATCGAGGAAGCTCCTGATTTGGAAATTTGCCAGGGGAAACAATTTAAATTTCCACACCCAATTGTTTGCTCCACAGATTTTTAGAGAAAAATATCTGACATAAAGTATTATACTTCATTCACAAAAAGAACAACTCATAGTTCAAGATGGACCATGGATCCCTGGGTAATTAGATATCTCTTGTATTGAGACATGTGAATCATTAAATGCTATCATACCCAGTAGTTATGCTAAAGTCCAACAGGTAAAAATCGATTGAAGCAGACCGATACTAAGAACAACCCAGTACAGTAGATGATACATGTGCATAAGCAAGACAAACACAACCACTAGAAACTATTTGAAAGAAGTAGTCTAGTCATAAAAGTATAAGTGATAAACCCAAAATCATGCAGTTCTGCATGGCAGGAGAAGACAGAGAATATAGAGTGCAGTACAAAGGAACCGCTTGAACAACAATGCACGCCTATCAACTAAATTAATCGAAACAAGGAAGATACAACATTGCACAACAGTGGTTTGTCTCACTACCAGTGTACATACAGATGCAGGTAAACTTTTACTTGACAATCCATGTTTTGATGACAATGGTACCATTATAATATTTCCAAGTCAAAAGTTCTGCAGTTGCACCTACTTGTTCTTACCACATGTAGCAAGTAGACTAGGGTACATTGTGGATAGAATAGCATTCTCGACACTTCCTACTCCAAAATATCCCCTCGAATTATCATTATAATTTCGACTATTCTTAGACAACCTTATTAAATCAATGCAACATTTATATGCAAACGATCCAAGCCACCTTACATAACAATTAAGAAGATATATCTTGAATCTAACAGACTTGCGTTTCCTTTCCGGCGAAAGATATAACCAACTAATCGCAGTCTCTGACTCTTCTTCATACATAAACCTTTTGTTATTCATCTCAGAAGATCTAAGCAGATCTAAGGAATATTGACTATTAATGAACAGGGTCATAAACAGAAAGAGACAAGTTAACTTTTGTACATACCTTGAGGAACCTGGTTCACAAATTGACTAGAAAAAGATGGCTGCAGCATAATTAAATAACTGAAGCTATCAAAGGCACATTTCCTCAACACTCATAAAAACTCCAAAAATCAATCATCAGCAATGAAAGCAATCAAAGAGGTAATCATATCACATTTAATAAGAACCAAGATTTTCATTCCATAATCGATCAGGCGTTAAAATTTCCGATTTCAAGTACTAGAATAAGAATAATATTAAATAAGCTCAAAATTCACAGTAAATCTTCTATTTTTTCCTAATCTAATCCCTGCCAAAAGAACACACTTGAACAAGCTCAGCCCTAACAGTAAACGAAGCGGTAAAAAGAAACCAACTTTTTGAAAAAATTACACAAAATATGAGGAAATATCTTCTCAAACAATCTAAAAATCTCATCCTCGCACAGAAAATACAATTATCGTTACCTTTTGTTCGCTTAAACCAACTACCTCAGGCATGCTGAGGATTTAGGGAATCAAAGAAAAACCCTCAAAAGTTTTCGAGCGAGAAAAATCGCGCAGAATAAATGGGGGGAAATTACCTTTGTAGCATTGTTGTTGATTGTTGAATGGAAGACGATCGATCGAAATTTTAGTGGTTTCTTGGAGGAAAAAAAGGTGGGAAATTGGGCTCCAATGAGTAAAAAATGCCTAGAGTAAATAGAGTGTGTTTCTTTAAGAACGGCACCCTTTGGCTTTTTTTTTTTCACTTTGGCACTCCAACGTTTACCAATTTTGCGCACTTTTGTACCCGGTCCCAGAGACCAGAGTTGTTTATTTAACAGTTTGGTGCCTTACAATTTTAACTCCGTTCCACTTTGACACCCCATTCGGATCTCGTTCATTGTACCCCCAGTTTCCGCTTGCCAAAAGATCAAACAATAAAAGACAAAATGACCAGATTGGTATATTTTCTTGAGGCTTGGTGACAAGTTGGTATATTTTTTTTAAGTTTTGTCAAATTGGTATAAATTTTCAACTCCGGCGCCATATTGGCCTTAAGTTTGGCCGGAGTTACTGTTCCGGCCAGTGTTGATGGGAATTTTTGCATAAAACTCCCTTGTAAAAAACTTATCCTGCTCCTAACCCCCTCCCCCTCCTCCGCATCCTCTTTCTCCTCCTCATCCTCTTCCTCTCTCCTCTTCCTTGCTCTCTTCTTCATCTCAACCCAATCCCAGCTCCATTGTAAAAAATCTGACTTCGTCCCTCCTCGCTTTTCCCAGACCAAAATGCTTCGTGAATTAACAAAGTATAATAACAACAATAAATAAGATAAAATGTTGGTTTACGCACATATAGCATATAACAATACATGATACACACAAGGAGAAACATCAGACGCATGCGATAGCGAATACCAATATATATAAAAATAATAATAACAAGCGGCGAAACATGTAAATAATTAATTTTTAGGGAGCCCCGTGCCGCCTCTCACGGTGCTCCCAAGCGCGCACATCCTCCTCGGGGAGTTGGACCTCCCGGTCGGATCTTATCCTGAACTCCGGCATTCCAGCCCCAAGTCCAAGTTCATGGCCTTCTGGCGTGGATCCTTGGGTTGCAGTGGGCCGGGCGTCCACCACGAGAAGAGCGGACAGCAGGAGGACGGCCCAAAAGGACCTTATTACGCTTCTTTCCATCTTATTATCGCTCTCCTCCTCCTTTCTCTCTCAGTGGGATTGGGTTGAGATGAAGAAGAGAGCAAGGAAGAGGAGAGAGGAAGAGGATGAGGAGGAGGAAGAGGATGCGGAGGAGGGGAAGGGGATTAGGAGCAAGATAGGTTTTTTACAAGGGAGTTTTATGGAAAAAATCCCATCAACACTAGCCGGAACAGTAACTCCGGCCAAACTTAAGGCTAATATGGCGCCGGAGTTGAAAATTTATACCAATCTGACAAAACTTAAAAAAAATATACCAACTTGTCACCAAGCCTCAAGAAAATATACCAATCTGACCATTTGCCAACAATAAAATGATCAAAGATTTTTTTTTTAATAAACCATTCACATTTTTATTTTAAAATCAACCCCCTTAAGTTTTATTATAAAAACGGACCCGCTTTTTCACCACGTCAGCATCGTGACGAGAAAGTGTCGGTTTTTTTTAATCTGGTTCCTAAATAGTCGGGGTTGCCAACCCCGATTAAAAGTGTCGGTTTTTTTTAATCTGGTTCCTAAATAGTCGGGGTTGCCAACCCCGATTATTTAGGAGGTTGCAAAACCCCAATTACAACCTTAAATCCTAACATTCTTCCTAAATAATCGGGGTTGCCAACCCCGACTATTTAGGAGGTTGTAAAACCCCAATTACAACCTTAAATCCTAACATTCTATGACTAAATAGTCGGAACTATTTAGGAACCAGATTAAAAAAATGGATCGATTTTTGTAAAAAGAACTCAAGAGGGGCGATTTTTTTAAAAAAATGTGAATGGATTTGTTTAGAAAATTTCTTCTAAAATGATCTCACTAGCTGTGGCTGGGTATCACGTGCTCAGCGCTTCATGTAAATTTAACAGAACATCTAATGATGATTAATTGGCTTGATATACATATCACCTTAATTAAGTGGGAATTCAAGAGATGGGATGAATGAAAGCACAAGTTCTATTAATCTCTCTCATCAATCACAAGAGAAGAAGACATCTTTAAAAAAATGGCCGATTTGCACTTTAATACTCCAAAAATCCACTCCTTAAATTTTATACCCTAAAGTTCTATTTTCGATAGTTTAACAAACCAAAAGTTTTCAAATTGGAGTTAATTTTACAGTTTGACATCCCAAAACCTCAACTTTGTTCCTCAGTTTTTCCTAACTGAAAAAACTAACATCACATCAAAAAAATTTCTCATGTATTTTCCTGCATTAATATACTCGAGAAAAATTAATGTTTTTTATTTTGAACTTTTGGGTCTTAAACTGTGGAAATAAAACTTTCCAATATGAAAAATATAAGGATGAGATTTGAAAGGTATCAAAAGCGCAATAACCATATTAAATGGAAAATGTCATTTGTTGGGGGCTTAATTGCACTTAAATACCCTACAGTTTCCCCTATTTTACACTTACATACCCTCAATTGTTTCTGCGATCACTTAAAATTTAAATTCCTACTTTAAAAGGAACAAGGTTAGGTTTAAAGTATAATTGCGATTAAATTTAACTAAAATTAAGGGTTAAAAAAAGTTCTAAAACTAACATCTCAGTGTCCTATGAGAGAAAACTCTTCTTGAGTTTCCCTGATTGAGGGTGTTTAAATGCAAATTTTAAAAACTTTGTGGTGTGAAGCTGCCATCGAAAACAATCCAGGGTACATAAGTGCAAAGTTGAGATGCTGCATGCTGACTGCCGAGGATACTATATGATACTTAATTGCAATTAAGCTTTTATTATTGGGCCTTAGGGGTAAACTTTACTTTGACCTTCTACTATTGAATCTTTCCCGGCCCACTGAGCCCGTGGGTTCGCTCTTTTTCCTCCCTTCAACCGCCGCCTGAGCCTGGACTCATCAAAGAATGAACCTCTCCCGCCTCGATAATGGCCATTTTCAAAAGATATAATCCCCTCTTCTCGTCTTCTTCCTCTCTCTTCTCCCGCTTGCAAGCCCTAATCCTCGAACAAAAGGTTGAAATTCTCGACTTTTTTTATCTTTGAGGAATTTCGTCGAACGGTTGGTGTTCATGTCGGAAATTCTCGTTTGTTTGCTTGTTTCAGAGGTGGACGCATGCGTATTCTGGTGAGAGCGCAGCCGGCGAAGTTCGAGAGGCTAGTTCTGGTTTTCGCCTGAGAGAAGGTACGGGTTATTTGCATCGTTTGCACTTTAATACCCCGAAAGAATCGCGCTTCTTTTAGCTTTGATACCGTGGAGTTCTGTTTTTGACAATTTGATACCTCAAATTGCGAAGAAGTTGACATCAATTTTGTTGAAGAATATGGATGTAGAATGTGAATGAGAAACGACTTTTCCTACTAAGTTTGAATTTTTTGGGTTTGGGGAAAGTTGAAAACTTTCGGATACCAAAACTGTCAAAAGAGAACTTCAAGGAGTCAAAAGGGAACTTTTTTTTTCATTTTTATGTTTAGATGATGAATATAGAACATGAGTGTTTTAGTTTTTTTTTTCTCCCCTTTCTTTCTGCAAAGGAAAAATGCACGTAAACGTTAAATAGAATCATGAGACAGTGAACAAATTAGCAAAAGTTGGATGGTCATGAGTGATTATGGTGCATCGGCAGGGCTCATTATTTATAAGAAGAGTATTTATTCATCATGGCCCTTCAATCTTACAATTTTTTATGCTGACAAATTCTAATTTGGCATGTAAACAATTCAGGTTCCATTGACGCTTCTACTTGGAGGACTGTGGACTCGAGAACTTTTGGGATTAGACGCTCAGCTATATCATCACCCATATGGACTGTTCTCAAAATTCTTCAAGGGCAAGGTGCCTCACTTTTTACCATCCCATAGTAATCATCACTGTAAACTCACGCGGATCCTTCGCGGATGTTTACTTTTTTGTGTTTATCCCCTTAGAGTGCATTAGATCAGATAATAACTTTATTAATTACAGCTTTTGGTTAAGAGGATCAACAACGAAGTGATTCATTTAAGCCATTTTTCAACAACCAATCTCATGCTTGTTTATCTGTTCTACATAAATATATTGTTTACAGATGTTTAATGGCATAAGTTAATAATTAAGGTGCATGAACATCAACACAGCATGGGACAGACACTATACGAGAATAATTTGTTAGTAGGATGCAGGGACACGAGAACATGAAAAAACTTGCCATTTATGGTGATGGTTATTTGAATTAGAATTGAATCCACAGCAGCTATTCTGATTGGAAAGGGATTTTTTAATTCGGTGGTTAAGTCTTCAGCATGAATTGAATGTGAAGCATTTACTAATGTTCAGCTCAAGCAAGGATAATTTTTTATTGAGTTATCCATATGCAGGTTTTGAAGCCTATCTCGTAGGTGGATGTGTGAGGGACTTAATATTGGGGAGAACGCCAAAAGATTTTGATGTTGTTACCACTGCTACTCTTGAACAGGTTTGACATCTCGCTCTGTTTTGAGGCGTGTCATAATACTTTGATATGAAATTTTATTTAAATATTTTATTGGAGCAGCATTACTTTTCTTGCAGATTAAAAATCAATTCCATCGATCTATAATAATAGGACGTCGATTTCCAATATGCCTGGTTTATATTTTTAGCACCAAAATAGAGGTATTCATTTTCTCAGGTCACTGAGTTAGAACTTGAACGCTCTTTCTGCTTAACTTTTTGTTATCTAAGCTTGACTTGGTGCTCATATTATTGTTGCTTTTTTCTCAATATACCAGGTTTCTAGCTTTGAAACGACACATATAGATGCCCAACATGGGCAAATGATCCTTTTCTCTCAAATGCCCAATAGTTGTGACAAGAAAGATTTTGTGCGCTGGAAAGATTGCATGAGGCGGGATTTCACAATTAATGGGTACTTGTTAAAATAATAAAATTTGTTAACTATCATGCCAGAAGTGTGTATGCTGTGCTGAATTTCATTTGCTGGTCTTCCTTTAAGCTGTCTACTTTTGATTTATTAGTTTCCTTCCCCCTTTTTTTGACAATACTGGTAATATTGTCTGATGTTCAACTTTCTTTGAAGCAGCTTATTCTATGACCCTTTTGTAAATACAATCTATGATTATGCTGATGGAATAAGGGATGTAATGGCATCTGAGGTAAACTTAATTGTTTGTTTAATTTTACCAAATGCTAGTATACTGTTTGATTCTACCTTTTTTTGTTTAGTTCTTCACCTGCTTATCTTTAAATTTTTTTAATCCAAGTATGTTTATCTGTAATGATCAGGTGCGCACAGTAATTCCAGCACATTTATCTTTTACGGAGGACTGTGGTAGGTTCTCAAATCATGTTATCACATGTTTTCGTGCCTCTGGTTCTCCACTTGGAGGCAAGAGAACACTGTACCCGTCACTAAAGCTTACAAACTCTGTGGGTCACAGCTAGAATTTTGCGCGGTTTGAGGATTGTTGCTCGACTTGGCTTGCGGTTCTCTGAAGACACGGCTACTGCTGTACAAGATCTTTGTAGCTCCATAATAACTCTTGACAAGGTATTTATAGGTGCAAATCTAATGCCAAGACTACTCTCTTTTCCTTCTTTTCTTCTTTCTTGACCAATGTAATTTCATTTATTTTAGCCAAGACTGATGATGGAATTAAATTTCATGCTCGCATATGGAGCAGCTGTGCCATCGATCAGGTTACTTCAGAAATATAAACTTCTTGACATCTTGCTCCCTATTCAAGTGAGTAAAAGTATACTTTATTTAAAATGAACATCTTTATAATATAAATCCTCGATTAATAAACATAGCTCTCTAAGAGTACCCTTTGTTACTTACTTAGGCCGCATATCTTGCTGACCAGAGTAAGCAGCTCGCAGGTGGAAGCTCTATAATGCTGATGGTAAGATGCTTTACCCTGTGCATCTTCTTGTAAACTGTACAAGTTTATTGCTTATTTTTAACGATTGACAGGTTTCTTGCACCTACAATACGCGGCATTTCTCTCCTTTCTGAAACTTTTGCTTTGGAAATGTTCTATAATTAGTAGAACAAAAACAAATACATATAGTGTAATTTTAGTAATGTTGTAAAGAGGAATGAGCTTATAGTGCATTTGATGGTCAAGAAATATCTAAGAGTAATCATTATTGTTATTTAGAATCGATCATTGATCATGATGGTAAGATTGAGGTTGATGGGTCTGATCGAACAAATCCGGATGGTTAACATGGAGGAGTGAGTCTGACAGACTTATGTGACCATAGAATACCTATGAAATTGAAGGAATAAATCTATAGAACTACAAATCCTATGAAATTGAAGGAATAGTTCTGTAGAACAATTATGTAGAACAATTAAGACCCTCAACGTTCTGGGGATCAGAATATTGGGCAAGAAACAACATGTGCAAAAAATGAGTGTAGAAGAAATGAGAATGCTACAATAGTCTTGTGGATGTACAAAAATATATGATAATAAATATGCCCATTCGTAGGAGGGCAATTAAGATAGTTTGGTCATGCACAGCGAAGACTACTAAATCCATCAGTTAGGAACAATGATGAGAAAATAGTTAATAAGGTAAAGAGGAGTAGAAGTACGCCGAAAAGAACTTGGATGTAGGCTATGAAGAAGGTTATGGTAACAATTAACTTAATGAAGGAGATAACCATTAGAGGACCTGGCCCCAATTTTGGATAATGACTTTGTTGTTGTTACATAAAAGCTATCGTTTGTGATCTTCCACGTTAAGTGGGCGAAGAGTGTTTACTTTTCGTTTTTAGTGTTCTAGATTTCCATTATTGGCAATGATGGTGCATTATGTGTTATCATGTCTCCATGAATTATTTATGGGTATTTTTTAATTTGTAACTTCAAGGTTCAGTTTGTTTTCCCCTTTTTTGGCAGATATTTGGTGTCTGCTATTTGAACAAATCTGGTTTTAGTTTTATGAATCTTGTTGTTTATGTTGGGGATACACAACCCCCCTGATGCGATTTGGAAATAGAGATTTAGGAGAGAAGAGAGAAAATCAAACAATCTCAAACACACAAGATTTACGTGGTTCGCTTCTCAATGTGAGAAACTACGTCCACGGTCGCCGCAGGAGAAAAATTCACTATTTTTCGTCTTAATACATCATGCCCTAATCAACCTTTTTATAGACTTAAGTGTTTAACAAGTAAAAAAGGAAACAAATCAAAACAGGTCAAAATTCGAATCTGGGCCAAAACCCGACTCCGGTCGACCGCCGCACCACATCCGGTCGACCGCGATGCTGTTCAAAATCTGCCTGGCTTTCTGGACTTTTGGCGGTCGACCGCAGCGCCATGCTCGATCGACCGCGACGAAGCCAAAAATCTGGATTGCTCTCTGGACTTTGGGCGGTCGACCGCTGCGCCACCTTTGGTCGACCGCGACGAAGACTGAAAAACTGGGTAGCTCTCTGGACTTTGAGCGGTCGACCGCAGCACCATGCTCGGTCGACCGCGAGCTGCTCCTCACCCTAGTGCCTGCCTGTGCACGTCGTCGGTCGACCGCCGCGCCATGGGCGGTCGACCGCAAAGCTGTAAAAGCTCTCCTTCGTCGTTTTGCTTGAACTTTGCCATCGTCGATCCTGTTCCTCTTGTTCCAACTTTGTTCCTCTTCATTCTGAAGTGTAGGGCACGTCTGATAGTTAGGCTTCACATATCCTAACAATCTCCCACTTGGAGACTAACTATCAACCTTTTTCAGCTCTCTCTGCGGCGACGGCCTCCGTATCATCAAGTGCTGAGGCCAACTGAAGTTGAGCACAACTTCAGTTTCTCTGTAGTGACAACCTTGGTAAGCATATCAGCTGGGTTCTTGCTTCCTTGAATCTTCACAAGTTCCAATATGTCCTCGTCCAACGCTGATCTTATGAAGTGGTAGCGGACCTGTATGTGTTTGGTCCTTGCATGAAAAGCGGGATTCTTTGCCAAATGAATTGCGCTCTGGCTATCACAATGTAAGACACTCTTCTCACTCTTCTGTCCCAGCTCTTCCAAGAAACCCTGCAACCATATCATCTCCTTGCTTGCCTCTGTCACCGCAACATATTCAGCCTCTGTCGTTGATAAAGCAACGATTTTCTGCAACTGAGAAACCCAACTAATAGCTGTAGAGCCCAAAGTGAATACATATCCTGTAGTGCTCCTTCTCTGGTCTATCTCACCAGCATAGTCTGCATCAACAAAACCCTGCAGAACTAACTTGCCTCTTCTGAAGCATAGACAATCTTCTATAGTACCTCGCAGATATCTAAGAATCCACTTTACTGCTTTCCAGTGCTGCTCTCCTGGATCTGACATAAATCTGCTCACAACTCCCACTGCATGGGTAATGTCGGGTCTCGTGCATACCATGACGTACATAAGGCTTCCAATGGCTGAAGCATATGGAACCTTAGCCATGTATTCTTTCTCTTCATCAGTCTCAGGACACTGCTCCTTAGTCAGTTTGAAGTGACTGGCTAACGGTGTGCTAACGGCTTTAGCACCACTCATCCCGAATCTCTCAAGCACCCGTCTAATGTACTCGGCCTGAGATAGTCGTAGTGTGCCTAAGAGTTTGTCTCTGCTAATCTTCATTCCCAATATCTGCTTCGCTGCGCCTAGGTCCTTCATGTCAAACTCACTCGATAGCTGCTTCTTCAGCTTCTTGATCTCTCTCATATCTAAACCGGCTACTAGCATGTCGTCGACATATAGAAGCAAGATGATGTAACTGTTGTCGAACTCTTTGACAAAACAGCAATGATCAGCATTATACCTGGAGTAACCGTTCCTGTGCATGAATCCATCAAACTTTTTGTACCATTGCCTTGGAGCTTGTTTTAGGCCGTACAAGCTCTTCTTCAATCTGCATACCATCTTCTCTTTTCCTTTCTGAGTAAACCCCTTTGGCTGCTGCATATATATCTCTTCCTCTAGATCACCGTGGAGGAAAGCTGTCTTTACATCTAGCTGTTCGAGATGTAGATCTTCAGCTGCAACAATACTCAGGACTGTTCTTATGGTAGTTAGTTTGACTACTGGAGAGAATATCTCTGTGTAATCAACTTCTTCTCTCTGCTGAAATCTTTTAACCACTAATCTAGCCTTGTATCTCTTGGAACCATCATGTTCCTCTTTGATTCTGTACACCCATTTGTTGCTCAAGGCTTTTTTCCCCGTTGGTAGCTTCGCAAGTTCCCATGTCTTGTTGGTGTTCAAGGATTTTATTTTATCTTTCATAGCAAGCTCCCACTTGCTCGCATCATCCACTCGGAGGGCCTCATCATAACTTTCTGGCTCTCCACCATCACTTAACAATAGGTAGTTGAGATGAGCTCTGGGCTGTAGTGATGGGTACTTTGATTAGGCTTGGGGACTCTAGCTGACCGTCTCAACTCTCTGACGGGCGGAACATGCTCTTCATCTTCATCTGCCCCCTCTGAAGTAGTCTCATCCATCAACTCTTCTTCTTCATCAGAACTAGCTTCGGGATTGCCTCCATCTGAGGCATCATCTGACTCGAAGTATGTGGGATCACGCTGTGTCGAACTAGTGGACTGAACGACATCACGGTCTTTGTAGAGAACTGATTCGTTAAAGACCACATCCCTGCTTCTGATGATTTTCTTGTTCTGCTCATCCTATAACTTGTAGCCAAACTCATCACTGCTATAGCCAACAAAGAAACATTTCAGAGACTTAGGATCAAGTTTGTTTCTTGCATGATCACTCAGATGAACATAAGAAACACAACCAAATACTCTCAGGTGAGAAAGGTTTACCTGCTTTCCACTCCATACTTTTTCAGGTATTTTGTGCTCCAAAGGCACTGATGGCCCCCGGTTGATCAAGTAGGCAGCTGTGTTGACTGCTTCTGCCCAGAATTGCTTTGGAAAACCTGCTTGTAACCGCATACTTCTGGCTCTCTCAGTCAATGTTCTGTTCATGCGTTCTGCTACGCCATTCTGCTGGGGTGTACCTGGCACTGTCCTCTCTAATCTAATGCCGCTGTCATAACAGAACCTCTTGAACTCTGAGTCTTCATACTCGCCTCCGTTGTCAGAACGAAGCTTCTTGATCTTCAAACCGGTCTCGTTCTCAACCATAGCCTTCCATCTCTTGAAGACTTCAAACACTTCTTATTTGTGTTTCATGAAATAGACCCAAGTCTTCCTCGAGTGATCATCTATGAAGGTCACAAAGTATAACCTTCCGCTGGTGGATGGTACTGATGCTGGACCCCACACGTCTGTGTGAACTAACTCAAGATTCTCTTCTTTAGGGGTTCTGCCAACCCTTTTGAAGCTTATTCTCTTTTGTTTCCCAAGAATACAACTTTCACATAAGTCAATATCAGCCGATCTCAAATCTGGTAACTTCCCATTTGATTGCATAACCTTTAGGCCTTTGCTACTCATGTGACCTAGCCTCTGGTATCATAAATTTGGGTCTTCATTACTTTCAGCCACTACAATGGAACCTCGTGCATCTATCGTCATGTAGAGAGATCCAGTCTTCGTACCACGGGCAACAACCATGGACCCCTTTGTAACCTTCCACGTATCACATGCGAAGGTTGTTACATATCCCTCTTTCGCCAATTGTCCTATGGAAATCAAATTTTTTCTCAAGCTAGGAACATGTCTCACATCGCTCAGCTTCCATATAGACTCATTGAGCTTGATTTGCACGACTCCTTTGCCAACAATATCACAAGGCTGATCATCACCAAGATAGACTTTTTCTAGGTTTCCTGAAACGTAGTTCTTAAATAAATCTCTATTTGAGGTAGCATGAAACGAAGCTCCTGAATCCAGCACCCACGATTCAGTCTTGCTTTCCAACGAACAGATCAGGGCATCATCTGATTCTCCTGAGGCCACGTTCGCTTCAGTCTTGTTCTCCTTGTCCTTCTTGGGTTCTCGACACTGAT